TGGAAAAATGGTGTTTCAACGCTATTTTAAAATAAGCTGAAAAATTAAAATCCCTTTTTAACCCCACTGACCTTTCTCTACTCGCCCCCACCTCCCACTAGGCACCACCGACCTTTCTCTCCTCGGCGAAACCCTTCGCATGATCACCACATACCATTTCGGCCACACCTAGAACCCTTCATCGACGATCGCCTTCGCTTTCACGATGACCGTCTCTTCACCACTCATCTATTAGGCAAGCTCACTGTCTTCTCCTTCAACTCTGAAATCAATCGCCTCCTCGACGACGACGAAGGACGAACTTTTGAATCCAGCTATCCTTCTTGCATTTCAAATCTCCTCGGCCGCCACTCCCTTTTGCTCATGAAAGGCGGCCTTCACAAGCACATGCATTTTCTCATTCTCACATGCTTCACTTCACCTCAAGTCATTCTCTCCTCGCTTCTCCCCAGCATCAGAACTTGGGGGAAACAAATTCGAAGGAGAAAATGGACTTTTTACCTTCTTAATATCAATTGTCAATCTGAAATATTCACCCTTACCGCGTTCACAATTTCGTCGTTGATAACTTTGCAATGGATGCGACATTCGGCGACGTATCTCCCCCAAATGACCTTTCAACCATTTTGCCGCTTTCTTGCCATCGCGTCAGAGGTTAGCCGCGATGGAAAACTAGCCCTAAGTAGTTGCACCTGCCCCAAACATACCCTAAGTTAAAATTATCCTACACTTGTCATTTTGAACAATATTTATCCATGCGATATTAAGTATGGTCATTTTCCTCGCTGATATTAGAGCACTATTTTAATTCTTTTCTAACAAATACATATTCTATGCTTCAATATACATATGCTCAAACCACTTGACTCTATTTTAAATAACTTCATTTTTTAATATATTTCACTCTAGCATTTTCTCTAATAAAATCATTCATTAATTTATCCTTTCTAGTTTTTTGCACACATTCATATTATCATTTCTCATTTATGATACACTCAGCTTAGGTATTAATGATTTTCTTACAGCCCAACAATCAAATCCATAAAGCATCATCAATCTAATTGTGGAATTATAAACTTTATCTTTAAGACTCCATTATACCCTCTTATCACACAAACTCTTAACACTTTCTCTATCTTAATCATCCAGCATTAATCTAGGAGTTAAATCATCACTTATTCACCGTTGTTTTGTATAATATATCTAATGCACTTAAACCAATCAAATTTAAGTAGTGTCTTACCTTCTAGTAACATTTAATGATAAGTGTTAAATCATATCAATAAAATTATATAGTGCATAATCGACCTTCGTTTTTCTAATTCTACGAGAACAATCTTTCAAACAACTTCTGCTATTAAAATTTTTTGCTTATTTCATTGAATGTTTAATCAATTAAAATTATATTGTCTATAAAAAAAATGAATGACAAAGACCATTGTTTTAACATTCTTTGTCGTCTCAATAATCCATACAAAAAGATATGGATTCAATGTTAATATGACTACAAAGCTGAAGGTTCTTGGGTCGCTCTATAACTACAAATTCTAATCAACGAGGATAAAAAAACATTTTTTCAATAACTGCAGCATTCCATTACCATGGTTTTTTGCTTTTAGATGGTCCAATCAATGCATGTAGTACTCGGCAATTTGTTTTCTCAAGGTCAATAAAAATCATATGAAGGCTTTTCTTTGTACTTCATAATTATCAATTAATTATATTTATACAAAATCACTTCCATAATAAATGAGGATCTTCCTCGCATGAAATCGAATTTATTTTTTGAAATTGATGTATTTTTTCTAAGTCATTGCTTCATTATTATGCACCATTGCTTTAATAAAAAACTCATTAGTTTGATTCCTTGAAAGTTAACACAATCACGAACAAAGTCATTATCATGATAATAGTAATGCAATGAAACAAAAAGCAAGTGAGCTCACTAATCTTGTGTAAAAACTAGTACAAAAATTATAAATAAGCATAATAGAAAATAATATGTTCCACAAGTTTCTAAGGTGAGCGAAGGCCAAAAAAAACATAGCAATAATGCCAATTTCAAACTAAATTTACAACTAATGTGTTAAGTCCTCCGAGGCATAAAATTAATCATCTTAGGTTCGTCGTCAAGTTTAAATCAATTAGATAAAATGGAAAAAAAATGCAAATTTAAGAAAATAAGGATTTACAAGAAGATTACTTGAAGGGTTGATTAAAACATAGTGGACCATAAAACAAGTAGTAATCATATTGCAAATAAAAAAAGATCATTTTTTGTTGTTAATCAAGTATGACATTAATAATTGCAAGCGTATTATTACTATTAATCACTGTAGGGAGATGTATGACAAGGTATGTTTTAATTCCCCTTTAAAATCTAATCTGAGGATGTGCATGTCTGTTTGTACTCTTTTAGGCCAAATTTGGATCTTGTCTTGCTTTGTTTTGTTCTCATTTTGCCTGTGTTTTTTATTTTATTTTATTTTTTTGAAAAAAAAATGCAGTGTAAACCAAAATACGGTGTATTATAATTGTAGTGTTTGATATCTCTAGTAGAATGTTTGATAATCTATAAAATAAATACAGAGAAATAATTATTTCGTTTGGTTATATGCATGCAAATTAAAATAAAAATTGTATACAAAATAAATGACTTTATTTAATTATCCGTGAAGTAAATATAAATGAATTATTTTTTATGTTTATTTAAAAACTTGTAATAAAATATAGGTGAATTAATAAATCATATTATTATTATTATTATTATTATTATCATTTATAAATTAATATAATATTAAAGTTCATGTTTAGACTACATTTGAAATTTTTATGATTTGTGTAATGACAATTGTATTTTTCATACAACATTTTCATTGATTGCCTATATTCATAATCCAATAAAAAAAAATTATTAATCATCACCACTATAATTTCCTTGCAATAATTACAATAAAAATTCTAACATAATTGAAATTTTTCATATGAAAATAATCCATGAGAAACATATTTGAATATCTTGATTTAATTAACTAGAGGAAAAACTTATAACCTGGGCTCTTAATCTAACCAGCAACAAGCAATATGATACACATGAAGGGCAACAAATATTAGCAGTTTTAGCTTAAATATGTTTGATACAACTCTTAATGATAGAATAACATGAATAAAATTCTAAATTACCTTTTCTCGCTTTATAAGCCACAAACTACCGTGTTTCTCAATGGAATTTGTTGATTTTAGTGTTGTTGGAAAGCTAACATTTTCTCGTATTATCAAATACACAACAAAACCAAATTGATAAATCCTTCATTTACCTATTTGTTTCAAGGTTTAAAAACAAGTTTCATTTAAAAAAAACTCAAATTTTGATGAGGAATAAAACATAAGCATAGAATATTGAGGTAATTTCTGTACGAAAGACAATTTATTCAGGTATATATATATATATATATAAAGTTTTTCTCAATAGCAATGTTTATGCTTTTGAGCTGATCTTTTCAATGTGTGCGCTGACAGGGATAACAAAACAAAGAAGGTTAAAAATAAACTTATACAGATCATTTACATAGCCCTAACAAAGCCCAAGAGCTGATCTTGACAATGTGTACACTTACAGGGATAACAAAACAAAGAAGGTTAAAAGTAAACTTATACCAATCATTTATAGCCCTACCAAAGCTCAACACAGATCTACGAAAAATTTTAGTGGGCATCGACAAGTTCAATTGATACAAAATTTATAATTTATTATTTAATTTTAAATTTGAATTTCACTTATATCAATTCTATGTTTTACTTTCAGCACTCTCGAAATAAAATTAAAATTTATAAAAATAAAAACATCTTAAACAGCTAAGCACATTGACTCAATCTATCTTGAGATATGAATATTTTTCTGAGACTGGATGTTGAAATTTTTAACTGATAAAAGTTTTTTCTTTTCATCCAGAGAATTGAACAAAACATCACATTATTCAGTGTGCAAAAATACGAAAAATAAGTCAGGAATGCATGCTTCTTTCCTAGCCCCAATTTCTTCGCAATCTCTTTTTTTTTTCCTCCCCACCAACCAAAACAGCCCCCAATACACACCCGTCCACAAAAAAACTTGCAAATTAAGCGTTACTGTACACCCCAACAAAAAAATCCATAGGTGTTCGACAAAATCCCCATCTTATTCCCCCAATCAGCCTGATAATGCATCCACAGCAATCCAATCACTTCCGTGAACACTGCACCTCATCTGAAATTCAATAATGTAAAACGGAAGACTCAAAAAAAGCCAGGGAAGTGGGAAAAAAAACATATATATCCTACTTCCTTTAAAAATGAAAGAATTTACCAGAAAGACTAACTGCAGGGCGGAGAATGATGGAGAATCATGAGGCAGCTACGAACAAAATAATACTGCATGAGGCGGCGAAGGAAGGGAAGCGAAAGACAGTGAAGCAGCTGAGAACAAAGGAGAGGGCGTGCAAGGTAGCGAACGAAATGAGCATGTTTCATTCCCAGAAAATCAAGCACGGGGAGCCAAAGGCGAGCAACCTCACACGGTAAAATGCTTTAATGCCCAAAATCATGCTAGTATTTACTGTGGAGGTTTTTAAATGTTCTTAGAATTTATAATTCCTTTATATTCTACTATACTTTCAGATTATTAATCACAAAACAAAAAAAAAATTAACAATCCTGCATTTATTTTACTTTACGTCTAATTTACATCAAAATAAACAGTCCCTTAACAAAAACACATTCAAATAAACCGCTTGTTTTAAATTTGCAGAAGCAAGAAGAATATCCTTCAAAGAAAAAAGTGAATAAGAACTAGCAACCAGTTTTTCTAGTTGCATAAGTCAAGCAGGTGCATCAAAGAATATCCACTCCTTAGAAAAGGCTATTTCAGTTGCAAAAATTCAAAAATCTCTAAAAACAAGCCAAACAGAATATCATATCATAATCAAATAAGAGAATACGCTGCACTCTAACAGACTACATACCTTTACTCGAAGCTCCTTCATAGGATGAGGAGTCATTAAAGCTCTGATATTGGTCACAATAGGCCCCTGCATATACAACCAAAAAAAGTTAGAAAAAAAAAATCAATTTTTTTTAAAATGAAACTAACATGGAAAGGTGCACTACCTGCATACCACAAACGATTATTTGATCGCCTTCATGAAGAGTACCATTAACAAGCACCACGTCTATCGTGGTTCCTAATCCTTCAATCACTTTTACTTCCAACACAGTACACTGAATCCATAAAACCAACCAAAGAAAATCAACAATATAAAATAACAACCCATAACCGTACAAGAGTAAATAGCCAATTTACCTAAAAAAGAAAAAATAATAACAAGAAGGCAATAAAAATAAGGATGACATTAATACTGTGTCTTACATTGCATTTATGGCAATGCATGAAACCACATGTACAAGATATAATTGCAGGAATACCAAAAAGTGAAGATTTGTCCAAACCTGAACTTCATCAACATATGTAAGTTTATCTTCCATTGTTTTTTGTGCCCACTGCACCAATAGCAAAAGCAGATCCGGTATACCTTCGCCGCTATAAAGCAAGGCCTCGCATTAGCAAAAGATGGGGACAAAAGAATGGTGGCATTGAAATTCACAAATTTCAATTTCATCTGTGGATGTTATATAACACAATATATACCTCACTGCACTTGTTGGTACAATATTAAATGTCTCCCCCAAGTCTCTGTTTTTATAGTATAAAGCTGTATTCAGACCTTGCTCCTTAAGTTGAGTTATAATCTGCCAGAAAGAAATATATCATTCCCAATCTTTATGTTATAGCTTCATATAAGAACACAAAAGTGTAAGGACAAAAAAAAAATTCTCTGCAGACTAACCTGAGTAAGTCTCATGTTGAATTCATTTTTAACATCATTAGACTGTTGGTTCATAGCCTTCCTTATGGGGGCATCAGGACATTTCTTCCAACCATATAGTCGATCAACCTAAAGAAGGATAGCTCAACGAACAAAAATTATCTTTAATAACCAAAAAGAAAAGTTTTTCAACCAATAAAAATAGGGGCATTTACACAAGTACAACCCAATTCATATGTAGTTACATATCTAACACCTAAACTTTGCTTTTTTACATTTTTACCATCCAAGTCCAACACATCACATAAAAAATACCACTATTTTAACTTTTAAGAAGTGAAATATGCCTTTTCATACATAGATAATTCGTATTAAGATATTGTATGTATGTAGAAATTGAATTTTAGGTGTCAAATATGTAAATACATAGGAATTGGTGGTTTGCATCCTTAAAACTTACCTTGTTCAAAGCAACAATGAATTCTGTATTCCGACTTTTGAGTAAATTAAGTGACTCAATGGTTTGTGGCTCAAGCCCATGCATAATGTCCACAACAAGAATAGCAATGTCACACAAACTTGAACCTCTTGAACGCAAATTAGAAAATGATTCATGTCCAGGAGTATCAATAACAAGCAATCCTGGAACTCTCAATGTTGAATCAGCTTTCAGCTCCTTGGTTCTCTCCCTTATGTTCTCAGTAGGAAAATAAGTAGCCCCAATCTGTTGGGTAATACCTCCAGCTTCTCCCTCCTGCACATTTGTGCGTCGAATACAATCAAGCAACTTGGTCTTACCAGTATCCACGTGACCAAGAATGCAACAAATGGGTGAACGAAGTTCGCCGCCGCTCTTTTTTGTTGTATCCTGTGAATGATTTGATTCCAGCTTAACTCCAACATTATTTTTAGCCTTTGCAACAGTGTCTGATATTTCATGGCCGTTCACTTCACCGCCCTTCTTTGAAGAAACTTGAGGGTCAACTATTCTTTTAGCTGTTGCAACATCCGGAGCAACAGCTGGAGCTGAAGATGGGCCATGTTCTCCACCTTTTGCAATAAAAGTTGCTGCATTCAACTCCTCCTTATCCTCCTCAGCAAAAGGACTTGTCCCAGGCAATTTTACATCAACATCATCCCAGCTTTTAGCATCCCACTCTTCATCTTCTTCATCTTCTTCCATAGTTTCAGATTCTTCTTGCTCTTGTTTATCTTCGGGCTGATCCTGAACTTCTGTGTGCTGAGATAAGGTCTCCTCGACCATATCATCTTCATCAGGCTGAACCACATCAAGCTCAACAACCTCATTTTGGGATTCTGTTACCTTTTCCAGATCTCCAGTCTTTGTCTGAGCAGCCTTTGCTTTCTTTGCTTGGTATATGGGTCTTTTTTTGGTCTCTCTAGGAACATCAGCAGATAGATTATCATTCTGACTAAGAAACTGTCTCCTCATTGCATCTAACCTCTTTTGTTCTTCCTTCTGCTTGGCTGTCAAGAGTTTTCCCTCCTGCTTCTTCTTCAGCAGCTTCTCCTTCTCCCTTTCCTTTTTCCTTTTCTTTGCCTCTTCAGCAAGCCTCTCCAGCTCTTCCAACCTCTTTCTCTCCTCCTCCTCCTTTCGCAGCCTTTCCTCTTCCTCTCTTTTCTTCGTCTCTTCGGCCTCCTTCCTTCGTGCCAAAGCCTCCTGCATCTCTCTAACATGCTTAGGCAATTTCTTGTCAGCAGCTTTTCCCTTTGCGGCATCCTTCTTCTCTTCCTTAATTTCCTCCTCAACAGTAACAGCAGAAGCTGCAGCAGCTGCTGCCTTCTTTTCCTTCTCCTTCTCCTTCTTCTTCTTTTTCTTCTTAGCAGCTGCTGACTCCACCTCCTCTGCTTCTCCTTCCTTCTCATCAGGAACAATATCAGTAGAAACCTTGGATTGTACGGGCTCAAGTTTTACTGACCCTTTAATGACATCTGAAGGTGGAGCAGAAGAGGATGGAACAGTTTGCGGACCATCTCCAAGTTCAGCAAGGATCTTTTCCAAGTCCTCCTCCTCCTGGAAAGTTCTCCCACCCTTCTTCTTCTTCTTTTTTTGCTGCTTATTTTTAGAAGCGGCATCTTCAAAGGCACCATCCTGTCTGCTGGAATCCACATCAGCTTCCTTTAGTTCGTTGTCTGCAGGATTTGCCTCTGGAACAACAGGAGTAACTGTAAGGCTCGTAGACTGTAACCCCTCCCCAAGCTCGGCCAGAATTTTATCCAAGTCTTCCTCTTCCTGCGCAGTTCTCCCTCCTTTCTTCTTCTTCTTTGGTTGCTGCTTTCTTGTATAAGTATCATCAAGCTCCGACTGTCTACTTGATTTCAGTTCAGCCTCCTCATGGCTATTAGCCTCATTTAATGATGGAGGTTGCTGGTCAGACTTATCTTCTCTTGCTTCCTCTCCAACAGAGGAATCGATGGTAGAATTAGAACTTTTGTTTTTCTTGGTTTTGGAAGGCTTCTTCTTACCTGTGAATGCCAGAGTAAGCGGTTCGGCTTCCCCATCATCAATCTGGCTATCTTCGTCTTCACCCAGAGCATTGAAGGCACTGGATGTAGGAAAACTATTTTCTGTATTGGATTTAGAGGGCTTCTTCATACCTGAGAATGTAACAGCGTTTGGCTTCTCCTCATACTCATCTTCCTGATTGTCTTCCACATCGCTAAGGGCATCAAAGGAACTGGAAGCTTGGGAATTTTTCTCTTTCTTGGTTTTAGAAGGCTTCTTCTTTCCCGAAAAAGATACAATCACGGGTGCATCTTCCTCATCTTGCTGATTACCTTCTTCTTTACCAATGGCTGTAACATTAGCAACATTATTGCCTTGAGAAACTCTGTCTTTCTTAGATTTAGAAGCTTTCTTCTTTCCAGAAAACACGTTCGAAATCAGTTCATCTTCCTCTTCAACATTATCTTTGCTCATCTTCGCCTCCTCGTCTTCGGCACCAGCAAGCTGCTCGATCTCCAAATCCTCCTGGCCTCCATGGCGCTGTGATTTGGCCCCGCCGCCTCCCTTCTTATTCTTCTTCGACCCTGTGTTGATTGAAGCGCGGTTTTCTTTCTCAGATGCCTGAACTTGCTGTTCGTCTATCGGCAAAGAGTACTCGTCGTCGTCGATCATCACCGTCTTCTTCCGACCCATCGCTGGCCTCTGCTTAGTGATTTCCGGTTGATCAAACCCTACAACTAAGGAGCTATCTGGTAACAAATTTAAAGCAGTATTGTACCTGGATTAGACCCAAATCCTGCCGGACAGTCAGTATGAACAAAATATTCGGGTAGAAGCGGTGCGAAAAGGAAGAAAGATGGGAGTTCGGGACTCTGATCCCGCCGCTGCCTCCCTAGTTAGCTCCAATTGCGAGTGTATGGCGAGTAACGAAGGTGATGGTTTCGGGCGAAACCTGGAGAGGGATCGCGCAGGAGAGTGAAGGGTATCTAGGCGAAACTGGGAGGAGCATTGAGGCGAGGGTTTCGGGGAGAGAGGGGAAGATGGGATTTCTTTTTATTTAACTTAATTTTATACATTTAATTGATCACTAATTAATTTTCAAGTAATATATTATCAAATTAATTGTGCTTAAATAAGATTTTTATGTGATTATTTAATAAAAATTACAGTTTAGAACTAGCATCATCAGATTTTTATTTCTTGTAAAATATTTATTTTAGTTAAATTAAAAAAGTATATCCATTATTTAACTTCTTATTAAAATATGGTTACTCGTTTCTCAACAGAACCTGCCCTATTCTCCAACCCATTGTCGAGCTAGACCCTGCTCACATTTCTTTTCCAAAACGCCAAAGAAAATCTCCAACTAAAGCCAACAGTCTTTCTTCGAAATTCTACTAAACGGGATGATCCTCCCATTTTACCAACTTATCCTGCTATATCCTCACCAAGTGTTCCCCGACGGTGATAGAGAAACCAACCTGCCAGCTATGACGGGGCGGCTTTCCTTTTTTTCACAAGAAGATCTGGACGATTATCCCAACCCTCGGTAGCTTACGAGTTTACACCCATCCCTGGTCGGGTATGGTTTTTTTTTTTATTTACTCCGCTCCTTGTAGCCTTTACTCGAATTTGAGCAAGTGTTTCCACAACCCTCTTACTTGACGAGGAATATGTGCATCTACTATAGAATCTTCGGTGTCCTTTGCATATGATCGATCATTTATTCTTTCAATGACAATTTTAACATATATGGGTATTATTTCTTCGATAGAACTCTCATATATTTTATTTCTATCAAATTCTCAATGATTTTATTTTGGTACGCGTAAGTGCTTTAGTTCAATTGTTCAAAAAACATTAATATTTCAGGTGATCTATATATAATTATTCCTATTTTCTATGTTTTATTATATTATCAAATTAACTAAGCTACTAATAATTTACAATCTCATATTTTTCCTTTCAACATTGGTATTCCATGAGTGCGTTAATTGCTCACAATGAGATTTCAACTATTCCTATTTTGCAAATGTGTAATATCACCGAGTTCATCTTTCATTGGTTTAAATGATTCATTGATCTAGATGATGATGTAAATAGATCCCTGGAGACACCTCATATAGAAAAAAATTGACATACAAACTATGTTAGATAGTTGCTTTGTGGATGTTATAATACTAATATATATATGATACGCCACAAACAAATTTTTATCATCTGACATGAATCTCGAGGCATGACACAAATATCGATATAATATTTTGAATAAGGAGTATGACACAAATATCGATATAATATTTTGAATAAGGAACGTTCAAATTTTGATAAAAATTCATCTAGAGCTCTGTTTTCAGAAAACTTATAGTCAAATTAACCGGCTCGATAAAACAGACATAATGATATCAAAGCTAGTCCAATCTGAGTTAAATCAATCACAGATTAAGTCATTAAACCACTCTTGGAAGATTTTTGGACACATTTTGAAGTTCAAATAGATGCAAACACTAGCAAGTCTATACTCTACAAGCGTCTCGACAAGACGAACCCAACAAGCCCAAGATCACTCAATTCTAACACCATTAAGAAATTCAAATGTCCATTAAACACCATATGATTGAAGGAAACTCTCTGAATCATCCAATCAAATTTGTTTATATTACTACATTAATTGCACCCATAATACTATAAATGGATCCCTACCCCTCACATGAGGAGGGGTTGAAACCTAAAGAGAGAGCCCGAGGCATTGAGAAAAAGCTGCAGCTCAGCATCACTGCCGACCCTCGTCAACTATCGCCGACCCTCATCGACCTTTATCGACCGTCGTAGACCTCCGTCGGCTGCCTTCGACTACCGCCAACTTCCATCGACAAATACCGACCTTCATCAAAATTCAAATGTCCATTAAACACCGTATGATTGAAGGAAACTCTCTGAATCATCCGATCAAAATTGTTTATATTACTACATTAATTGCACCCATAATACTATAAATAGACCCCTACCCCTCACATGAGGAGGGGTTAAAACCTAAAGAGAGAGCCCGAGGCTTTGAGAAAAAGCTGCAGCTCAACATCACTGCCGACCCTCGTCAACTATCGCCAACCCTCATCGACCTTTATTGATCGTCGTAGACCTCCGTCGGCTGCCTTCGAGCACCGCCAACTTCCATCGACAAATACCGACCTTCATCAACCACTGACCGTCATCAACTACATCAACTGTCGTTGACCTCGCCAACCTCCGTTGACCGTCACCTACCGTTGTTGACCATCGCAGATTGTTGTTGATTACAACTAGACTCCATTAGTCATTAATGCAGGACAATACCTCATCACTACGGTTCATGTGTCAATAACGACCTACGTGATCATCAGCTCGTGCAGCTCTAGACTCCGACCCCCACGACCTATGGACGCCGTTCATTTCTCGCCCTACAACCTACATGGTTCACAGCTCGTGCAGCTCCAGTCTCTAGCCCCCGAGGCCTACGAACGTCATTCATACTCGCCACAATGACCTACGCGGTCATCAGCTCGTGCAGTTACAGACTCTTACCCCCTGCGGCATACAAACGTCATTCATGCTCGCCCCACGACATATGTGGTTCACATCTCTTGCAACTTCTGACTCCAGCCCCTGCAGCCAACAAACGTCTTTCTTACTCGCCACTACAGCCTATGTGGTCCACAACTCCCGCAAGTGCTTACTACGGTTTCTCTGGCCAATCAACGCTTCTGAAGCAACAATCTACAATATTCACGATGGATTACTACCTCAACAACAATCAACAATGACTATTGCAACATGCTGTCACAAAAAACTGCAGTCATGTTATAGTTATACAACTTTGTAATTTCATCTTCCCTAATTTAGGAGAAGAATGAACTTGTGTACTCATCATTCACAGTGGAATATTTCAACTGAGCTAGTCCCCGTGGAAGGGTTTTTTACATAAAAAATCGAGGTATCTTCTCCTACTTATTTCTCTTTTCATTTGTGTATGTTGAATTCTCGTGTAACACTAAGACGATAATACATTACTCTACCGCCGCAAATTTTCTAGCACGCATCAATATCGAGTGGTACGACCGGAGATTATGATCTATTCAAAACTAGAAAATGGGCAAGGTCTTCTAATTCTTCACATATCTTAGTCCTAAGAGCGAAAAAAATACATAAATAACTTCCTACAACATTCGAGTCAATGGTTGAAAATAACTCCGATACAATATTTGTTAATATAACGACCTTATTGTTTGAATTTGTCCTGAAATTTTTATGGTTGGCAACCTTTTTAACAAGAATAAAAGTCAAAGCAAACGTTACATTTCAATGCTGGGAAAAAGGGAACTTTCAATTCAAGTTTCAAATAGATGAACATTTATTTACGCTGTGTTCGAGGACAAATTATTCTTATAAAAACAACGCATGCTGATATACATGAGTTGTCCGATCTCGACCGTTAATCAAAGCAAAATTGTATTTTGGTGGGCCCCATTTAAAAAAATAAAATAAATCTCATCACTATGGTTCATGTGTCAATAACAACCTATGTGATCATCGGCTCGTGCAACTCTAGACTCTGACCCCCACGACCTATGGACGTCGTTCATTTCTCGCCCTACAACCTACATGGTTCACAGCTCGCGCAGCTCCAGTCTCTAGCCCGGCCTACGAACGTCATTCATACTCGCCACAATGACCTACGCGGTCATCAGCTCGTGCAGTTACAGACTCTTACCCCCTGCGGCATACAAACGTCATTCATGCTCGCCCCACGACATATGTGGTTCACATCTCTTGCAACTTCTGACTCCAGCCCCTGCAGCCAACAAACGTCTTTCTTACTCGCCACTACAGCCTATGTGGTCCACAACTCCCGCAAGTGCTTACTACGGTTTCTCTGGCCAATCAACGCTTCTGAAGCAACAATCTACAATATTCACGATGGATTACTACCTCAACAACAATCAACAATGACTATTGCAACATGCTGTCACAAAAAACTGCAGTCATGTTATAGTTATACAACTTTGTAATTTCATCTTCCCTAATTTAGGAGAAGAATGAACTTGTGTACTCATCATTCACAGTGGAATATTTCAACTGAGCTAGTCCCCGTGGAAGGGTTTTTTACATAAAAAATCGAGGTATCTTCTCCTACTTATTTCTCTTTTCATTTGTGTATGTTGAATTCTCGTGTAACACTAAGACGATAATACATTACTCTACCGCCGCAAATTTTCTAGCACGCATCAATATCGAGTGGTACGACCGGAGATTATGATCTATTCAAAACTAGAAAATGGGCAAGGTCTTCTAATTCTTCACATATCTTAGTGCTAAGAGCGAAAAAAATACATAAATAACTTCTACACCAGTCGAGTCAATGGTTGAAAATAACTCCGATACAATATTTGTTAATATAACGACCTTATTGTTTGAATTTGTCCTGAAATTTTTATGGTTGGCAACCTTTTTAACAAGAATAAAACTGTGTTCGAGGACAAATTATTCCATAAAAACAATGCATGCTGATATACATGGGTTATCCGATCTCGACCGTTAATCAAAGCAAAATTTTATTTTGGTGGGCCCCATTTAAAAAAATAAAATAAAAAACTCTGATCTACAGTTGAGATCGGACAGCGCTTGCACATATGTAATAATTTTTCTTGTTCGAGACACTAAAAATGTAAGACACATAGTATTAAACATTGATGAAATACATTCAAATATATGATGTGCAATATGGTACTCATGGTGTTTGTGCAATATGTCAATGTTAAAGTTTAACATCATGCTTGTTTGCCATGACCAATCTACATGAGATTAAAATTAGATGAATCATTCTTGATATTTTATGAAGCTTTAATGATATTATTAAGAATGCAGACTCACACTCAATGACAAGTTTAATATAATTTCAGAAGCATACATTATAAAAAGTATTTATTTGACATATTTATTATTACACCTAATGGAAAAATTAATTTAATGAAAGAAATTAAAAAATCATTAGCAAAACTAATGAATGAGACTTAAAGCTTAGTTATCTACCC